GATATTCTTCGGTGGCATTTGCGGATGCGAATAGTACGATAAAGATCGAATTCGGACATAGCATAGTATATCCGCGTGTTGATGAATTGGTCCGATATCATTTGCAAATGGGCTTGTATTTCAGTTGGGATCAGAAAAATATGAACTTGGACTGTAACAGTGAGTGAAGATAGCTTCCAAAGTTCCAAAAAATGCTGGGACAACATGTGAGACGGTAAAATGCGGGGACCAGACACCGTGAGAGGTTACGAATAAGCATAGATCATCTTGGTAAAACCCAGGACAGACCCCTTGAATCATCTCATTTTTCTACATTGCAAGATCAGATTAAATGAGATGAGCTGGAAAATGTCATCTTCTAGCACCTCCTACCCTGAAGTAGATCGGATCCGCTCCTATCGTTATCGATTAGAGTACTTTCTTCCCTTATCTTATCTTATCTCGCCTATGCTTTGAACGTAGGGTGGCGTCGGAATCCGCGACCCTTTACACCAATTGTCCACCGCCCGGCTCGTCCAAGGGCACCGTGAATATCTGTCGCACAGGTACAGGCTTTCTGGAAACCTGTCAAGATTATCTAAGAAGGAGCCTTCAACTCGAATTTTCCATGTTTCTCCTTTGCCATTATCTTCAATCTTCGCAAGTAAATCCAATAGACCTCAATAAAGGTAAATAATAATTTAGAAAGTTAGAGGAAATACATAGATTGGCCATAACGGCATGATATAAAAGCAATTCAAGGGATTGGTGGCTGTCAAGCTGATATATAGCCAGGAAGTTGACAGTGCCCCCGGGCAGCGAAGCTCCGGTCCCCGCGGACCCTCCTTGTCCCACAAGATCTCAGCTGAACTGCCTATGCTTCTTTGGACTTAAGCAATCCATCCCAACCACCAGTTGGATTGAAACATTTTGCCTTCATAACTCTTAGCTCTCGGTGTACCGAGGTGCCGAGGCATCTATTTTTAAGTTTGCGGGGTAGCATTAGAAGCTTTGAAGATTTACCCATCTCGATCGATCGATGAGGATCAATTAAAGTCAATCACGCTCCGATCCTGGATTTATGAAACTTGATCCTCTATCGATTTGTTCACATCCACGCGCCTATCATAATGCCTTCTATATCAGCCTCCATAGTCACGGTTCTCATACAATGGTTCCGCGCAAACAAGGCCATCCAGGAGGATGAAGAGGCGATGCGCCAGTACATTCACGACACCTACGTCCGGCCACAAGACCACCGTCCTCCCAGCAGTCTCGGCTCGAACGTCACCATTGATCGCGTCGATGTACAAGAATGGCCCTTATACAAGATATCCACCACGAACGCTCAGAATAAGAGCCAACAGCGAAAGGCCCTTCTTTACATCCACGGCGGATCGTTCTTTAAGGAAATCTATCCCCAGCATTGGCAACTCGCCGCGCAGATTGCTACTGAGACGGATCTGGATGTCTTGGTACCGATTTATCCGCTGGTCCCGAGACCGGTAGCTACAGCGCAGAAGCTCGCCGATGGGTTTGTCGATATTTGTCGTTTGTCGAAGCAGCCCATCGTGAGCATAGCGGGCGATTCAGCGGGCGGTACACTCGCTCTATCAACTATTCTCCATCTCCGAGACACAGCGCCTGACCTCTTTGCAAAGGTGCGCTCGTTGATTCTCATAACACCTTTCCTCGACTGTACGGTCGATCATCCTGAAGCCCTGCGTCTCGATAAGATCGATTTCTGGCTCGGTGTACCGGGTATCCGTATCGCAGGGAAGATGTTTGCAGGAGACTTGCCGATTAAACATCCCCTCGCCAGTCCGCTATACGGTGATATGGATAAACTTCCACCATTGTTGATGTTTGGTGGTCCAAGGGATCTGCTTTGCGCTGATGCGAGACGGTTAAAGTCAAAGTTGCTGGGCAAAGACGTGGATGAGGCTCCGGCGGGGAGTGTTGAGACGGATCGGCTTGTGTATGTTGAGAAGGAGGGGATGATTCATGTCTGGCCTTTACTTCCGCATAGTGAAGGTGCAGAGGGACGAAAGATGATTAGTTCTTTTGTTAATAAGCATTTAGAGCGATAGATATCTTTCCACAGAAAGATTTTAGGAATAGCCAAGTTTTCAGTCGCCAAGCTTCCCACTCAATATGATGAAGTCACGTCCGAAAGTCCTTTGGGCAAAGCCCATAAGCCGCAAGGTTTGTCAGCCGGTTTTCGTAAGCATCTTGCGTCTTGACCAATCAGGCCTTCTCCAATCCCTCAATTTTTAAGCATATCAACCGGGTTCATCCAATCCTACAGGATCGTCGGCGAATAGTTGCAGTGAGCAAGACCCACCTCCCCAAAGGAGCATCCGGAGCTTGAAAACTATAGGGCTTGGGTTATGTCATCGCCTACAAAGCCATGCAGTGACAAGATATGTTGATTTCGGTATAAAGAAGGCAAGAATGTATGTAATGAGATTCACCACTGGAATCATTAATTGCTTCATTAGTTGTTGAGGTATTAACGAAGATGCGCTTCCTTCAACTTGCCCTTGCCTCATTGGCTTCCCTTACGGCAGCGACTTCATCCTTCGATACCTGGGCTCACGGCCGAGTTGCTCTACAAGACGTGAGTATTCACTTCCGCTATGCCGGCTCAGGCCCTCCTCTTCTTCTCGTCCACGGGAATCCCCAGCACAGTCTCACATGGCAATTCATCGGTCCTATTCTCGCCCAGAACTACACTGTCATTGCGCCCGATAACCGAGGCGCTGGTGATTCGAGCGTCCCTCCTGATGGGAACTACACCGCGGCTGCATCGGCAGAAGATCTCAAAGGAGTGTTGGACTTCTTGAACATCACTTCTACATATGTGTTTGCGCATGATAAAGGAGTCGGGATGGCAACCGCACTGGCGATCAAGTATCCAGATCTTGTTAAGAGGCTTGCTCTAGCTGAGTATGTTCTGCCAGGGTTTACCTACGAGCAGTCGTCAAACCCAGCGCCGTTCTGGGATCTGTATCAGAACTGGCAGTTGGCTTTCTTTCAAGTCCCCGATTTAGCAGAGTTTCTCATGTCGGGAAAGGAGAAGCAATTCTTGCAGTGGTATTTCTACCACGGAAGTTACTCTGGCGTCGAGAGCTTTAGCGAAGAGACAATCAACAGATATACGAGCAGTATTTCGAAACCAGGATTTCTAAGAGCAATGCTTGGACCGTTCTCAAGTTCGACTGTTTACCAGGATGGCAACTTCTTCAAGGCTGCCCTAAACGAAAGCCGATTGAGTGTACCGCTGCTTGGTATGGGCGGTGAGGCAAGCCTGGGATTGAAATCGATCCTTAAGCAAACCTTCGAGCCAGTTTCATCTGGTCTGGAAATTGATGTCATCCCGAAAGCAGGGCACTGGGTTGGTGAGTTTTCCTACCGACCCCGCTAATGGACGTAGCTAATTGACGAGCAGCGGATGAGAACCCTCGATGGACTGCCAAGAGGGTAGCCAAGTTCTTTGGTGAAGACGATGATAGCCTGCAAAAAGTTGATTTGGGTTACTTGGATGATTTGGTTACACTGGACGTCGGGTTTTATGGTACTAGGAGGAACTTTGCATTGGGCACTCAATAAGCGATCAGGGACGTTTGGACAGTCATTGAAAAGGTTGGCACAGGCATGGCTCCAAGGGCTCATGAGTAACCCCACAAAGATTCCGTACATTCAAATAAGACCTATTTTTGAATAAGGGGTTTGTTTCACAGGATCGCAGTCGGCATAAATACGTCGTATGTAAATACTCTCAAAATAGATACAAGAATGTTGCACCGGGCAACTCCTACACTCAATCTCATATATACTCCATCATCGTAAGCCCAAAGCTTACTTCTTGACAGTGCACCCAATGCGCTTAGAGTCAATAGCAATGTCGTCAAACCAGAAAGTGTTGACAGCACCGCTATAAGACTCCCAGCCAAAGTAAACACCCTGAACCTTGGGCTTGGGCTTGCTCCTGGCCCAGCCGTTGGCATAAGAGCTGGGAGCCTCGGGTTTGTAGACAAGACCCAGCACGGGGTTGTCGTTGAGCCAAGTGGCGATGGTACCATCGGGGGAGAGGTGGTACTCGAGGCACTGCCAGGTGTTGGCGGGGATGCTCTTGGAGGCAGCGATGCCATCGGGGGATAGATCGGGAAGAGTGGCGTCGTCGGACTCGTGGTTGTACATCATGATCTTGCTCTGGCCGCCGATGCGGAGATGCTTGCCCTTGCCCTGCGCAGCGTCAGGCATAGTGATGAAAGTGACGTGCGAGTCATCAAAAGCCTTGGCAGTCTTCCTATGATTGGAACAGTGATCAGTAGCTATTCTCTTGGCGTGTTCAGCTTTAACTTACATCCAAGTTCGGACATAGACATGGCCCTCGGGAACAGCATCAGTTCCAAAGAACTTGTGTCCGCAGAAACCATTGGGTCCACCAGTGACCTTGATAGAGTTCTTTCCACTGTGCGCAGTAGTCTTGTCCAGCTCAACGCTACCGCCCTGATCGCAATCAGGCGCATAAGTCGGCCAAGCGACCTTATCCCAGCCACTCTCGAAGTCCTCAGCGACCTGGCCGAGGGCGAGGGGCAGCACAGAGAGTGCAGCAAGGGCAATTTGACGAAGCATGATGAAAATATACGAGAAATGAAATATAGACTGAAAGAAGTGAAGTGAAGTGAGGATGAGAAGCCAAGATGCCAAGAATGAAGGGACGATGCGAGATCTATATATGAGCTGAAAGCGAGAGACGATATTAGGGACTGAAGCCTGAAACAGGGCGGTTCTCTGCTTGTGGTTGTCATTGGTCGTGCAGGGGTGTTGCGGTTAGTTCGGAATCGAAAGCCCGCAATTTCCTTGTCGGGCCATGAGGTGAAACCTGAGACGAGCATGACGGGAATTCTTCCGTGGAAGGGGTGTGAAACAATCTATTTATCCGTCTTTTGACTGGATGTATTTTCTGGTTCTTGAGGGGTCAATTGGTGTTATACATATTTAATCATATTCCTTCATGCATTTTTCGGATCAAGATGACCGTCTATCCGATGATATGTAGTATAGGAAGTGGGTTGGCGTAGCATGTAGAACATCACTACCAAGATTGGATTAAGTAGTTGACTAAAGAGATTCGGATGAAGCCGCGAGATACTCAAAATGGAAAAGGAAGTTTTCTGTTCGGAAGTTGTCTTGCTCCATTTACTATAGACATCTGACGCCTAAATACAAACCTGACTGTAGGAATTTCCACCAGGTAAGAGCTTGCCTACATAGACCAGAAAACTATCTAACTCGTGTTCGTTACTCTTGCGCCAGGGCTAGTGCTTCTTCCAGCCACTTACCTCATCGACTTACCTTCACACACAGAAGAACGCCAACGCCTTGAGCATGTGCCTTTCCGGCACCATAGATCCGGACAACCACTCTGAGAGGGTTAGGTAGCATGACCTCAGTTGATGTCATCACAGGAGCCAGTGCTCGACAGCAGTGGCGTGCGCAGCTCCGGGACGAGGTCTCACCTTTGGACCGCCTCTACCTGTTTAAACCATTGGTATCGTAGACATGACGGCGTTTATTCTTTTTCTTGCCATTGCACCGGTAGTCAACTGTGCAATGCACTTTTGGATCGCTCTTGCTGGTGTGCCATCCATTCACGACCTTTGCTGTGACAGCATCAGCAGGAGCTTGCGCCACGCTGTAGTTGACTATGATCAGTCGCATTGTATCACCATCTGCTTGTGCTTGGCCATTATACATGTTTTCCGGAATAAATGTGACATTGGCGTTGTCCATGTTTGCAAGGACGGTTGCAATGTTGTTAAGTTCGGGTTGAAAATGTAACAGAGGGTGTCAATCTATTCGAAAAAGAGAGATGGTATAGATATTCAATGAGAGTTTGGTATTACTACGGCTGAAGTTGATGGCCTGGAAATTGGAAATTTATATGTATGGACGGAAGGAAATGTGTCTGTTCTCAAGACTCTGTTCATGTCAGCTAATCCGTCATCCATTTTATGTATGGACCATATCTTATGTTCGATCGAACTCCGATATGCGTGGCCTTGGGTCCAATAAGTACATCCCGAACAAACCTCATGTTGCAGACCAACTACGAACAGACTATGCGAATCGAACGAGCGGTTGATTCAATTTGACCAGTGTACAAAACTTTCTCCTTGTTGGAAGGTGAGAAATCCTGGCAAGGTCGTCCGTGCTATGGCATATTGTCCAATTTTGCTGTTCTGTTACAAAACGAATGTTAAGGTCAGGTCATGGACAAAGGAAAACAGCCATCACACGCAGACGACCAAAACTTCTTTGATTCAAAGCAAATGGTGACTGCATACCGTGCCACCCCAGGCCAGAACAAAGAATGTTTGCTACCGGGGCTCAACGTCACATTCCCTCCGAGTCAAGACGCTAAACTTGATTGACCTCGGTGCACATGACTGGTTTTCTTTGTCACTCGGCATGGGTAAAATCTCCATTTCTGGCATAGTGGTTCAATCAATGAGAGTTTGGTATTACTACGGCTGAGGTTGATGGCCTGGAGACTAGTGTAACTTACTGACAAATTTAGCAACCGAGGACAAAGACTTGATCATGGCTATGTTCGTCGCACAGATCTGGACTATATCCCAATTAGGTCAATCCATTCACAATAGTGAACTCGGGTTAGACGCTGGACTCCTCAAAGTGAAAACCAATAGATCTGTTTTGCCATTACTTTCCTCTATAGTTACTTACCAAAAGCACCCGAGCATTAAAACGCCAAATCCTGACTCAAAATTGTAGCCCAAATCCTGCTCATACATAGTCAGATCCTCTATCAAATCCAATTGAGAAGAACCTTTCGAGATAAAGTCGTATGCTTGACCTCTTACTTCCATCATTGAAAGCACCCACTCTGAGCACTTGGCTGATTGGTTTGCACATGGGGTCGGTGGACATGATCACGAGTCCTGTTGATATTTTCGTCGTAGTAGTCCACAGTACAGTGTTCCTTTTTGTCCTTTTTACTTGTGTGCCAGCCATTCACGACTATCGCCAAAACAGTTCCGACAGGAGCTTTTGCTACCGTCAGCCTGGCTATTTCGGCGCGTTTGGCTAAACCATCCGGCTGTGCCATGTACATCTCCCATGGTTCAAACGTGACACAGTTCACGTTCATCTTGTCAAGACAGCGGTGGTTTTCTGAGTTGGTCGAAGGTATGTCAGATAGGATGCTGAATTTGGCACAGAAGAGAGATTCAATGTGGAGTTGGGACTTCAGGTACAGAGCAGTTGAGGTAGAGAGCGGTTGGATTCAACAGGCTCAAGTCAAGGTTTATAGGTATTGAGACGAAAAAAGAAAAAGCCTCTGCTGTTTACTTGTTCTTCATGAGCTGGTCCTGTTCATTGTTCGTAGCCATGTTATTCGGAGAACATATCCTATGTACATGACTGAACTACGAACAAGACATCCATTGATCATTTTCAACAGGCACTTGAGCCGCTGTACACAGTATAGGCTCTGTTGGAAACCGCGTCGTTCTGCCATAGTAGGTATCAAGGACATGAGTAAACAAAGAACAGCTGCGATTACGAGCCGTTCAGACTCAAGACCGCTCCTTTGAACCCAGGGCGGATTTTGGCTGCCACATCTTGGCGCCACAAGGCCAAGACAAAGAGTGTTTGGTTTCGAGGCGTATTGTCACGGCGCGGATCATGTCCTGAGATCTCATCCAGCATGGTAGCTAGTAAAACAATGAACTGACCTCGGCGATTCCGATTCAGTTAACCTGACCTTGCCTCGCAGCGTCAGTCGGGTTCTCATTGTCCCCAGAACGAGCCTGTGGCTGAGACATAAGGCCCCAGACTAGTTGACCGTGATGCAACTCCCCGATTTCGCGACATTAGTTTAGACACTAACATACCGTTGGTGGGGGCGCAAGTGGGTTACATCTCACTTGCAACACGATGAGCACTTGGTTGGGCCATTCCACCAGGATGCGCTCTTCCTCTTTATTCTATTTTGGTGGTGTGAAGCTAATCATTCTACTAGGTTGCTGTTGCCCGGTACAAGACCAACAGTACTCCGACGTTCATTGTCTGTGGTGGTTTTCAGAAATTTATAAACCCTTCACTTGCACTTGTTATGTGTCCAATTTGATCTCTCAGAACACCATCCGAACTCTCACAAGACACGTCAACATGGAAGGATCAAGCGTCTCTCCTCCACCAACCCCAACAGCACCTTTCGAAAAGAGGCTGAAGAACTGTGTATCACCTGGCGAGTATCCTGAGGCTTACCGACCAGGAGGCTATCATCCTGTCAACTTGGGAGATGTCCTCAATGATGGGCAGTACAAGATTATTCGAAAACTTGGAGACGGGTGTTTCTCTATCGTCTGGCTCGCCCATGACTTGATGTAAGTTAACCACCCCGCACAACACTGGGCCGCTTACCTAGACTATTCGTAGGAACTCCCGCTATGTGGCACTGAAGATTTTGGTATCGGACGAGGAAGAGAAATCCCAGGAGTTGCAAATCTCGCACCACCTTGACCAGGTTGCTCCCTTGGAAGCACCCCAGCGGATCACGCAGCTTCTCGCCGAGTTTGAACATAAAGGTCCCAACGGCACACATAAATGCCTGGTTTTTGAGCCCATGGGACCGTCCGTCAATCAAATGCTTCTGGAACTTGCCGACAGGGAGGAAAAGTTTCCGAGTGAGATGAAGTATCCGGCCCAAATGGCAAAGCACATTCTCAGGGATGCTTTAAAAGGGTTGGCATTTCTTCACAAGAACGGTATTTCCCAGGCCGACTTTCAGCCCGGAAACATTCTATTCTCGCTCAATAATATCGATCTCTGCGATGAGGCAACCTTATGCCAGGTAGAAGAGCCTGACGAGGACTATCGGATTGAGAGGATTGATGGCAAGAAAGACAAATGGGCACCTGAATATCTGTGGACTGCAGAGCCGCTGATTGATCACACGAGGATAGACGAAACCCTCAAAGTCAAACTAGCGGACATGGGTGGCGGTAAGTACATTCTCCCTCCTCAGATAAATCTAGGCTAACAGTTAGTAGCATACTTCCTTAATCACCCCCCCGAGGAGCCGATAGTCCCTTGCGCCCTTCGCGCTCCAGAGCTAGTACTCAAAGGAGAATTCGACAAGGCCCAGGATATCTGGAGCTTCGGGTGTCTTGTTTTTGAATTGATTGCTGGACGACCTCTCTTCTACGTATTTGGCCCAGCCAAAGACGATACCTCCTTACTGAACGACGAATATCTTCTTCAGATCACGGATAGGCTTGGCCCACTCCCCGATGAGCTATATAAGTACTGGAAGACCTCCTCGCGCTACTACACCAAGGATGGAACAAAGTACAACTGCATGATTGGTGGTGTTCCCGAGGGTAGGGAGCCGCTTATGTTGGAACAGTGTTCCATGGAACAAGCCTTCGATAGAGCGGGTCCAGAGATGACAGAGGACAAGGCACAGGAGGTCAAGAAACTCATTCGATGGATTCTTCAGTATGACCCTGCCAAAAGACCCTCGGCCGAAGAAATCCTTCGTCATCCATGGTTTGCAGAGATTCAGGCGTGAAGATGGAGTAAGACTGATGCTGGTAGCAGTTCATGGAAAGTAGAATTGGGAAGGAGAAAGGCAAGACTAGTTTGATTTTAGATTGAAACATTCGCGCAATAGGTAGATTGAATTATTGATTTCTGTTCTGATTTGCCAACTACATGATTGTACTCGTCAACATAGCTCTAAGCCAGCGTGAAGTAACTTGGCCTTCTACTTCTTTGGCTTCTTGAAAGCATTCTTGGTAAGCTTAACAACGAAAGCGCCACGCTCAATAGTGTTGATAAAAATGTATCCCGACTTGAAGTAAGCGTAAGAAGACCAAGTTCCAACAAAAGCAACACTACCGCCGCCGGGAAGAGCATCATCCTCGGGGTAGATGTCGAACCAAGCGGCTTCGTAAACTCCAGCACCGGTGGGATCTTGAGGAATGGAGCGGCCATCGAGGACACGGAGACCAGCGCCGTAGTGGGACTGGTAGATATAGTTGTTGATGACGTACTGGTTGTGATCGATGGACTTGGTAGGGTGCTTGAAGACACCGGTCTGCTTGGGGTTCTCAAGATCACGAATGTCCCAGATGAAAGTTACGGGGTAACCGTCAGAACCGGGGCCCTTACCATCACGCTCATCGAGTTCGTCGTCCAAGACGAGGAATTCTTGGTTTTGAGTGTCGAGAACCCAACCTTGATGAGTGTAAGAAGCACCCTCGTAAGAGATCTTGGAGATGATGTTGGTTACATTAGCCTTGTCGGTGACATCGTAGATGGTCAGAGTATCCTCGTTATATCCGTAGCAGATATCACGGCCCTGGTAGCGCTTATCAGGACCACGGTAGACAAGACACTGCGCATCGTGAACATAGCCATCACCCTTGGCGCATCCAAGAGACTCTGGGTTAGAAGGATCAGTAAGATCGAAGAAGTTGAGTCCAGAGAGACAGTTGGGGTCAGTGCGCGGCTGAGCACCAACAGCAACACCGTACTTCAACTCCTCATTGACAACAACATTGTGAGCACGACCAACAGGCAGCAGAGCAGAAAAGTGGCTGGTGAGATCCTTCTTTGCGTCAAAGACAACAGGGCTTTTGGGGTTGATCTTGAGCAGCTTCTTCATGTCGAAGATCTGAATACCATGGCCAACGGCTTCGGATCCAATGATGACGTAGTTCTTGTACGTGCGGATCTCGCGCCACTGGGACGGGACAGAATACTCGGGCAGACGACCAAGGTAGACGAGCTGTCCCTTCTTGGTGATCTCTGCGAAAGCAGTGCCGTCGTACTGACCGATAGCGACAAACTCACGTCCGTTATCGGAAGTCCATCCCCAAGAAGACGAGCCTCGACCGCCGGTGCTACCAAGCGCAGCGTGACTCAAGAACGAGTAAAGATCAGCCTAGAGACTCGTTAGCCAGTGTTACTAGTTGTTATACAAGGGGTGATACTGACGTTGTGGCAGGCAAAGGTGTTGTTGGCATCACCCTTGATAGCCTCTGCGTAACCGTCGACACACTTTGTGTACCCAAGCTTAGGATACTGCTCGCTGGCGAAAGCACCAGCGGCCTCTTGCTTCGCCCAGACAGCCTGCTTGCTGGCCATGAGCTTGTTGTGCACCTCGCCCGAGTCGTATAGCCTAGCGGCCTTCTCCTCGTTGACCTTGATCTCCTTGGCGGCGACATAGGAACTAACAGCGGCGAGGGCGCCGAGGAGGAGAGTGGACTTGACCATCATGAAAGATTGGGGATGATAGTTGGGGTTGGAGTGAGAAGAGGAGCATGTTTGGTGAGGAGAGGTGCCTTTTATGTATGAACTGGCGGCATTTCTATCTGGGAATACAGTGTTGGAATCTTTGTAGATCACGTATACCGGCAATCCTACCATAAGCGATCACAGCCGGAGGGTCAATGCAAATTCGCGCCTAGAGATCCCCCCTTCGCCAATCATCGTCTCTCCAGCGTCGCACCGAAACCATTATCTCAACTTGGCGATAGTGACGGCATTTCTTGTCTACCCGGCAATACCCCAGATCTGGAAGGTGTCTACCGACACCCGCTCTGTTATCAGAACCTATGATCACCTCCACAGGCACCCCATTGCAACCTAAGAAAGCACCACGCACGAACAATGTCTCACAAAAGTTCTAATGCGCCGAACCTCATTGGATACAAGGTATATCTTTCGCAATCCTTGGCGGACAGTGTACCAATCCTAGTTCGGCAGGTAAGTTAAGCTTATTGGGTAGACTTCTTTTCTCGGACATAGAGCCGATGGTTCTTTTTTAATCTTATCGTGAAGTCTAAAAGACGCAATGTGACCCTAGAGCGGACTTGGCGAGGGATGATTGGAGGAATTGTGACGGAGACTATAGTGATAGGGGATTAATGCCGATCATGGATTCAAGCTTGTTTTTTTTTTGCTCCGCGGTTATCTACGCCTAAATCATGGGTTTTGTGACGATTGACTATTTGAAGTGTGTTAGCTTTTGCATTGGATTATAGCATGTGCGCCCTGATAAGCTATACGAGATGATATATGTGGATGTGCCTGAGCCCCGAGACCACGCATACTTGTCGCAGTGTAGGAGCGCAGCATTTTGTGCTTGATGTCTGCCCTATTCGCTCTGCTTCGTTGCTAAATCCAGCCTTAATTCGAGAAAACAATCTTGCCAAGTTATTAATATTACTGTGTGAACTTGGCAGCCTCTATAGTGTTGCCGGCTTCCATAGCGGTGCTGCAATACCCTACACCAATATTAACATCAATTGCCGATTACAGGTCTTGGATTGAAGTCGTCGTCGGCACTTGCAGAAGAGGTGTTTACGAAGGAGGAAACCTGCAATGTGTCTAGTGCAAAAAGGAAGCTATTCCAGACTTTCAAATCAGTTAAGCGGACAAAACGATGGAAATAAAGACGGGAATTTGACACATATAAGAGTGTGATACATAAACCTGCATATCTGTAGCTTTTCTTCGATTGCATCATAGCAATGAGGGACTGAAAAGAAAATGTCCTATAGGCTTGTGTTTTGGCTACAAATCATTCCACTAGCTATCAAAGAAAAAGTCCAAACGTTTGTTACCCTGGTCACTAGTATTGTTGAGGTAATTCGCCTTTTCATGCGCAGTCATGCTGTCCCATTTGCTCCTCTTGGACTTATTGCGGTAAGTGTAATAGCCCTTTGCAAAAGCATACGCAAAGATAGTTCCCACAGTAATTCCAATCAAGTTCTTGTTTCCGCGATGGTAGAGCGGCTTATCATCTTCCCGATAAATGTTGGAGGACGCGATACCCGACAATTGGATAGTGATGTTGTACAAAGCCGCACTGATAGCCCGGGTTCGGACTGAGCCGGACAGTCTGGAGCACCAACCAACTTGAGCTGCATGGACGGAGGGTTGGCCGATGATCAAGAATGCCACAGCGTATTGAGCCCAATGTGACAGATTCTGGACTGAGGTATATTCAACGATGAGCAATGGGAGGACCCAAAGCTGGGTGAGTAGGCCAAACAAGGCGATCTGGTGGAACTTCTCGGTAAGAAAAGTGATCCAGAGCATGTTGATAGCGGCAAAAACTGTAGCAGGAATCGCCAAGAGCGTAGTATTGAAAGTGCTAAAGCCCAGAGCCCGAAGCGATAATGTCAGGTAAGTCTTTGGCGGTGCGGTAGGAATCTCGAACAGTATACCGATAGCATATACAGGCCAGAGGTCATAATCCTTAAGACTCTTCCAAAGCATGCCCAATGTAATCGGTTCGCGGTTATGCATGCCGCTCTTGGACGGATCATCGCGAAGAACACGATTGACAATGATCTTCTCCTCGCGCTCGGTAAAGTAGCCAGCGGGATTCCACCACGTCTTTGTCTGGGTAGGTCCAGGAATAAGGAAGAGGAAACTCAGGACACCAACCACTAAGCTGACCAAAGCTTCCAAGAGGAACAGCCAGCGCCAGCCTTCTCGGCCAGCGACACCGCGCATGTGGAGAATGCCGTATGCCATGAAAGAAGCAACGACACCAGACATGGAGTCTACGAACCAGAAGAGGGCAAGACGGATAGGCATCTCGGTCTTTTTGTAGAAGTATGAGAGGTATAGGATCGAGTCTGGAATGAAACCGCCCATGAACAAGCCTATGAAGAATCGGCATGCAAAGAAACCCGCACGGTTATGCATGAAGAACTGTCCGCCCGACGCTAAACTCCAGAGGATGATCTGGACAGGGATCCAGCGATCAGGGCCAAGACGCTTGCCGATCATCTGCGACGGAATCTCAGCCACGAGGAAACCAATGCGATACATGTTCTGGGCGTTATTAAAGTCGTTGGTATTGAGGCTAAGATCATCGAGTAAATTATCAGCAGCTGCGTTGCCGAGATTACCGCGGTCGATGTTAAGACCAAAGAACATGACGAGGATCCAGATAAAGATCTTCAAGTCTGTCTTGCGACGAACGGCTTGTTCTTCGCGATACGTCCATCGCTCATTGGGGTCGAAGCGATGGAAGTTCTCATACTCCGGTGGTGGTTGGTAGAATTGGGAGAGGTGGGGATCGTCAAAGACGCTGCGCTCGGTGGCGATGGCGTCGAGATCAGCGGGCTTGTTGCGATGGGTGAGGGCTTCCCAGATACCGATGTTTCTGCTGGTATCTTGGGGTTCTACCAGGTCAGTTGCTTCATCTTTGGGAGAGTTGACTTCAAAGGAAGGTGCCTTTGCGTCAATGTCTTGATGGACGAGATGACTCATTCTGGGCAGTGGAGGGCCAAATGTCCCTGAGAATATTTAAGAATCGGGAACTTATAGGAATGAGTTTGATATTGTCGTATTACCAAGTACGACAGTTATGCCTCTTATATGTAAACCATTCTGTTATTCTTCAATTATCCGACTAATCCCAGCGTAAAAGGCCATCTTCAACGTGCTCCTACGTGCAGATGGTGTGACCAGCCGAGGACCCAGTTTCCGAGATAACCATCAATTCAAGCCTACTGCCTCGTGCATCTCGGCACCGATGATCCGAGA